ATTATCCCCCAAACCAATATAGTGTTCATGATGTTTTTATAAAGAAAGTCTGACTACATTCATGTCTTAAAGCAAATCTACTTCTTTTTGAGTTGTAGATATTTTTTGTACTTGTTCTTTCATTTAGCTAACTTATCAAGGAAATTATAATCGACATTTTACTGCAAATGAAACACTGATTGGATTTCTCTTCATGTCTTATTATTCTATATTTTTTAATAAAATAAACCTCCCTTAGAGAGGCAGGCTATTTTAGACATATTTAAAAAAAATAAAGAACCAATTATTTAGATCCAAGCCAAAATACATTTCCCCCCTGGAGCAATTATATGGCTTTATATCCATGGTGTAGAAAATAAAATAATCTCAAATGTATAGAACTGTGTATTAAATATTGTCCACACATTGCTCTGAGTTAACTAAATTCTCAGCAGTGCTAATTAAGATTACTTGATAAAATGTTTAAACAACACAGTGAACATGACCCTTACTTCACCTTTGAATCCCATAGGTCAAAATTTTGCTCATGTCTTGGATACCTTGCATTCATCTTTTGCTCTTAGACTAAAATTCATTAGTAAAATATTTCAGGAAGTCATCCAGTTTTACTTATTGTATTTTGGAAATGATCCAGAAACTATGGAGATACATGTTTAGTCGAGTCCATAGAGTTTTACTTTTTGCATTCATTAGGAAATGATGCTTACTTAACCTTAAATGACACCTGCACTCAGGACACCATTTCTGAACCTAAGTAATCAAAAAACTTGTTGAGTTTTATTTAATTTGTTGATATTGATAAAATTATTTTTAGATCTTAAATCAGTGTGACTTGGGATCTGTAAAATTCACCTTCACATCACTGAAAATGATACCAGAATGACTGAATTGTTTTGAAAGCTCCTCTTTCTCACTTTTCTATGTCCTCTTTATATAACACCACTAAACCTTCAGCTATTACCACCAACATTTACTGAAGCCTGGCCAATGCTGTAGTCGGTCTAGCACAACATAATGCAGAGCTTGGATGTAAAGACACTGACAGTTAGCAAGCATTTTAATAGGACACGGAGGTTCCCTGTGGGAATGAAAGGCACCCTGGTGCTACAGTAGTTAATTCTCAGCGGCTAGCTCAAAAAAAAAAAAAAGCCAAAAAGCTCCTATTAATGCTATTTTAATAAATAACAAGGAAAAGGCATGATTTAAAAAAAAAAAAAAAGCCAATTCAAACCAACCAGCTGTTCCATTTGAGAAAGATCTAGAAATCTGTTTCTGTTTCATGGAAATCCTATGGGACAGTTATACTACATCTTATATGGCAGCTATTTCTCAGATTCATTTCTATGACAATGAATTTGGTTTGGTTTGGTGGATTGGGGAGTCATGCAGACATGAGTGTTAGCACTGGTATATAATGATAAAGACCACAAGATAAGACATGGATAGAGATAGCAGTTGCTTCCTTGAATCCCAAGATTGAGCAGCCTTACCACAAGGGGACAAGAAGGGAAGGGAAGGGAAGGTCATTTCTGAACCACACATGTGACTACTTGGAGAAATAAACAGCAGATCTCATGTTGAAGAAAACATCAGTCAGAAGAGCTAGTTGAATGGAAAATACTATGAGAAAAGTCACAGGAAAGGAAACTGGAAAACTAATTTGTGACCCAAACCAAATGATCTTCAAGGCTTTGATTAGAAGTTTGGAAGCTTCATTATCTTTTCATTCAATGCTCCATGAACTTTTGAAGCCCTCACTATCCATTCTTAATAACCAGCTTTTGCAAAATTCTAAGCAGGCACAGTCTGAAAAGATATCAAGATAGTAAAAGCTGTACAACTTGCTGAACAATCAGAAGTGGTACCAAGAGAGCAAGAGCTGTGTATAAGTCGACTTTGAACAACTGCTACCACCAATGAGGAACGCAACTCATATAGGCACCTTGGAAGTCAGCCTGGCTTTCCTTACAAAGCTACGAAAAGACTTCACCTATTAAACTGAAAAGTCAAAAATGTATGGCCACACAAAACCTGCATGCAGGTATCTATAGATCCGTTAATAGGTGAATTGGTAAACAAACAGTGATGCATTTGTTCAATGGAAAGTCATTCGGCGATGAAAGGAAGTGACCTGAGGGAGTGGTGCAAGATGGTGAAGTCAGTGGATGCTCTCATTTACTCCCCAGTAACTAACCCCTGAACATACAGCGAGGGGTCTGAACTTCAGGTGGCAGGTGAGGAGCTGGAGAGTCCAAATGAGGCCAGAAGAGGGTGAGAGGAGCCGTGGGCAGAGTTCAGATGCTGGAACATCCGCTCACTCCCATCAAGAGCAATATCCCAAGTGGAGACAACAGGAATGGGAGGCAAACTGAAGAAGATGTAGGCCCATCGTTTAAGGAGGTGCATATTGCTCTTGGGAGGTTGAAGTTCACACAATTGGAAAATGGGGAGGGAAGGGAGGCCATGGGGCTGTGAGAGAAGGCTGTTAAGTTTTGCTGAGGTCTGAGCCCTGGTGGTGTAGTGATTACCCGTCGGGCTGCCTGCAATCCACATGGTGGGCCATTTCAGACCACCAGTAGCTCTGCAGGAGAAGAGCTGGCTGGACTTTCTCCTTCCGTTACTAGCTACTGTCTCTGAAGCCAACCCACAGGGGTTCACTCTGAGCACGCATTGGCTCTGTGGCCGGGAGGTTGGTTTGGTTTTTGAGGACTGGAACGTTCTACAAAGCCATCAGAACAAGATGCTGCCTTCCTGTTAGCAACCCAGAGGCTAAATGACTGGCTGCACAGCTGAATACACTTTCTTAGCCAATAAAACATGGGGAGACATCATCTGGCGTTGTCTGCTTCAGCCAAGATCCATCCATAGACACGTTGTGATAAATGTCACTGAGCCATTTGGGTATGAAATGGCCAAATAGAAACCTAACTCGCTAGGTAAACTTTCACCCCAAACTCAATAAAATAGCATAAGGAAAGAAATTATGACGTTATGCACCCCACCCCCAACAAATGACAGAAGCATATGTATATCCCTGGATGTAAAAAACTAGCAGTAACACCTGTGAAAGCTGGAATTGATGTAAGGTGGAAAAACAGTAAGAGAAGGAAGACAATGATGCCGACTGCCAGCACTGAGATGCTTACACGTTCACTGATTCAGCTTTCCTCCTGCAGTCAGCGTCATTGTGTGTGTTTTGTGGGATGGAGGAGGACTTTGTGGATTGGTGTCCGACATATGGGTTAATGTTGGACTTCTGGGCTTGGGCAGCACTGGGTTGGGATGTTTTCTTGACCTTTATATAAAACTCTCTCTTATACGTATACGTTTCTGTGGATTTGTTTCTCTAATGTACCCAGACTCACACAATTGGTATTGGATATATGGGCTAATATCAGACTTATGGACTTGATCTGGACTGGGATGTTTTCTCAATATTCAATTGTCCTTGTATTTTTCACTACAACAAGTAATCAGAAAGTGGTGAGGTAGCACCCTGTCCAATGTGGAAAGCTTTCTAGATCCTGAAAAGTCAGGTAGTTCCGTTGAACTCTGCCCTCCCAGGTTTCCCTGTGTGTGTTAGTTCGTGCAGACTAGAGAAACAAATTCATAAACATGCATATGTGTGTAAGAAAGAGCTTTATATACAAGACCAATTGTATATTAAGAAAACATCTCAGCCCAGTCCAGATCAAGTCCATAAGTCTGATATTAGCCCATATGTCTGGTACCAATCTATAAAATTCTCTTCAGACGCATGAAACATATGTAATGATGCCAAATGCAGGAAGATCACAGGCCAGTGGGTGGAAAGTCGTGTGGATTCAATGGCGGTGGAAGCATCTCAGCACTGGCGTGGGTCTCCACGTGGCTTCTCCAGGTCCAGGGCTCTCGCTGCCATCAGCATCGCCCCATGTGTCTTGTCAGTAGAGAGTCTCTCAGGGAGTGAGTGTGTGTCCTGCCTCCAAGGAACTATGTTTCTCCTTAGCACCTCCAAATGAGGTCATCAAGCTGCAATCTGCTTGACAGGCTAAACTCCACCCCTTTACTCTTCATTCTCTCAAATCTACAGCAGATTATATAACTACCACACTGTGTCTGCTTCCAAATATAGGTCATTCTGGAAAAGGCCGAACTATCCAGCCCCTCTAGTCAATCCCATTCCCATCAAGTCCATTCCAGCTTGAAACAGCCCTATGTGCGAGAGGGGGACTGCTCCGTAGGGTTTCTAAGGCTGTAACTCTCTACAGCTTTGTTTTTGCCTTAGAGTGGCTGTGGGGGTGGGGTTTGAATTGCCTCCCTGATGCTTAGCTCCCCATCAAAACTATAGCGACAGTAATAACAGTAGTTGGTGTCAGGAGCCCAGGGAGAGGGGAGAGTGATACAAAGGTGGAGCAAAAGTATTTTAAGGGCCATGAAATATTTTGTAGGATACCCGGATGGTGGAAGCATGACATAGTGCCTTTGCAATTAAGACACTAGTTTGACTCTCTTCATGTCTTTTAATTCTGTTATAAACACAATGTTGAATCCTAAGGTACAAGGGGTCTTGGGGGTTCTGGGGATTAGGCATTAGGCTGCTAAGCAAGAGGGCAGCTGTTCAGATTCATCAGCCTCCAGGCTGGCTGCCCCTGTACAGATGTGCAGTCTCATAACTAGATAGGGTCACTATGAGTCAGAATTAATGCAACAGCAGTAGGTTAATGCAAGCTGTGGGCTGGAAAGAATACTAAGATACTGATATTGATGTATTCACTGTAACATACGCCACACTAGTCCAAGATGGCAGTCATAAGATATGCAGCAGTGGGGGTGGGGATGGGGGTGCGGGTAAAGGAGTGGTGTTCCCTCTACATTCTTTGTGATTTTTCTGTAAACGAAGACTTCTCTAAACCATGAGGAGTGTTAAAAAAGTAATATGTTTAATAGTGTAGAACCTATCAAAAGCATTCCACTTTAAAGAAAATATTGACAATAGACATTTGTTGTTTTTTCCCCAGTGGGGGAGACATCTGAGGTTTGCCCAGAAGCAACGGACTTTTTGTGTGACAACAAGAAGTGTCTTGCATCCCACCTTGTTTGTGACTATAAACCAGACTGCTCTGACAGGTCGGATGAAGCTCACTGCGGTAAGTCTGTTTGCACAGATTTTAACCTAGCCCATCAGCACTGATGGCGTCATGTGGACGGGAAGTCTTGTTTTCATGGACTGCGGCAGATTGCCTTATAGCCCAAAGAGTTCCACAAGAAAGAGCCCAAGATTAGCTCTTTCTCACCTTTCACATTTGTGGTTCAGTGAAGAACTTTTATACGGCCTTTCAAGACATGGTCTTATAATGTGCACACAATGATTGATGGGTACTATGCAAACTGAGTGACTATGAAGGGGATTGAGTGACTGACCAAGGGGATGGGTCGGTTCATAGTCCTAGAGGGGAGCCAATGCCTTGAAACTGACAAGCTGTTTTCTGACATAAGGGACAATCCTATAGAGGTTGAGGTGTATGTTACTAACTTAAAGAAGTGTCTGGAATGTACCATGTCCTTGGCAAGGAGGGTTTAGGGCCCCGGCTCTTAGACCCTTATCAGCCCAGAAGACAGAGTGAATACTGAAGACCACACGAGACTGAAGTAGTGGACCTGCCCAACCAACAGAGGAAACACCGAGCACCATGAGCAGGAGGGGTAGGGCAGAGAGGGTCAGGAGACACTGCAGGGGTCTTCGTACTGCAGCTGTGGCCAGGCAAGGGCTAGGGGGGCTCCAAAGTGGAACAGGAGAGTGGTGATAGCCAGACACAGTGGCTGACTTCACACTCAGCGTGTTGACCTAGAAACATAAAAATCGCCTGGGTAATTTGGAGAAAGGTGTTTTTCCCCTCAAGAATCTTGCTATTGTTCAATGTTTGTTTTTGTTTGTTTTGACCTTCATATTACTTTTTTTTTAAATCATTTTTTGGGGGGCTCATACCCCTCTCATCACCATCCATCCATCCATCCATTGTGTCAAGCACATTTATACATCTGTTGCCATCATCATTTTCAAAACATTTTCATTCTACTCGAGCCCTTGGTATTGGCTCCTCTCTCCATGTTTGTTTTCTATAAATATTAACAATGGCCTTGACAGGGCCTGCATGTTGCATCTCCTATGTCCACTTTGATAACAGATGAAGAGAGTACCCCATAGAATAGTTAATGCCCAGGTGTTTACCTGTCCTTTCCTTCCAAGTCCAAAGGCAGCCTGGAAGTTTGAAACACAGCCTATTTGTAATGTGCCGTGCCTTCACACAGACATTGAAAGTGGAGCAACTGATTTTTGTGAGACACGGAAGCTGTCACCTGTCTATAGCAAAGCATATTACCAATATTAGCCACCATGTAATTGTATGGAACTGCATATATATGTATAAGAAAAAGCTTTATATCAAGAAGCAATTGTATATCAGGAAAACATCCCAGCCCAGTCCAACTCAAGTCCATCAATCCGATCTGAGTCCGAGTCCCACTTCAGACTCATGCAGTCATATGCAGTGATGCAGAATGCAGGGAGATCCCAAGCTAGTGGGTGCCAAGTCCCCTGGACCCTATGGTAGTGGACACATCTCTAGGGCTCTGGCAAGTCCCAGCTTGGCTCGCCAGCCAGAAGGTGAAAGCAGAGAGAGGGGGGAGGTTCGGAGGGCCCCCTTATGAGAAGGTCACACCCACAAGGAGGAACCATCATGCGGTGACCTGATGGACAGGCCACACTCCACCCCTACACTTCTATAGCTTCACGTTGATACGAAATTATGGAACTACACAACCAATACATGTGAGATACAGCAGAATCAGTGCCTCGGGAACATTATGGTATTATTTAATACATACATTTAAAAAGAAGAAGGTCTGACATCAATAATCTAAGGTTTCCTTAGGATAAAGGAGAGAATAAACTATATGTCATTTAAAATGAGCAAATACTTAACTCTAGGATTTTTTCCCCTATGTCTTACTGATGAGCTTTTATTCAGAACTATGATGATCTATAGGCAACCTAGTACAGTTATCTTTGCATTATACAAACTGTGTTAAAAATGCATGGCCTAAAATACCATTTTAATGGCCTTGCCTGCTAGTTTTAGCATCTGTGTTTATTCTTGGCTGTTTGTTTGCTGGGTTGTGTGTTTCATTTCTTTTGCTTCTCTTTATGGGTTTCCTGCACCTCTAAAAACTTGGTAAATTTTTTGATGGTTTTGTTTTTTTAACCTGGAATCTAGATTGTATGTGTTTTAACTTGCTCAGTTCTATATATTTTTATATTCTCTAAAATATTTTGAAGTTTTATTCTGGGATGCAGCTGAGTTACTTAGTCATAGCTGGGTCCTTTGACTCTCTTACGTTTATGTAGAAACAGAGTCTTACTCAGTCAACAATGGATTATTATATGCAGAGGCATATCCATCCTGTGTCAACCACGACCCACTGCCATTGAAATGATCCCCACTCACTCCACCCTGGTAGGACCCTTCAGAATTGATCCTTGGACTTTCTGAGGCTGTGGATGTTGATGGGAGCAGACAGCCTTATTTTTTTTCTCCTGGACCGAGAAGAAGCTGATGGGTTTGAACTGCTTCCTTTAGGTTGTCAGCCAAACAAGGACCCCACTATTATCGTTTGTGAATCAGGAGTGTTTGCTAGTCCGGATGGTGGCGGAAGCATGCAAGGGGATCTTCTGCAGATCCCTGCTTTGTGTCATAGGGGCTTCTCTCTCCTCGTCAAGGCTCTGTCGTAAGAACTCTCATTACCTTAGTCTCTAAGGACAGCAACTCGCCTCCTTCTCACTTCAGGTAGCCCACTGCGCTCTGCCTGGCTGCACGTTTCCTGTGCTATGTAGCCATGAACTTTCTTAAGACAGTAAGCGGGGAGAGTTGGAAGGTTCACCTCATTTGTTGTTATTCCTCGGAGATGATGACGTGCGTGCTGTATAATGTCTTGAGGACCATAAGGTCTAAGATTTGTTCACTTCAGGCTAGAAATTAAACTGTGTGTCATTTACTTTATCTGAGCCAGATGTGGAAGGCTGATAGTCTATAACAAAGTTAAATGTGCACTCTCTATCTATATTATCCAGCAAAACTCTTTTTGGCCATGTACCCAAGACAAATCACAATAGGTACATACACAAATCCTTGTGCTCGGATATTCAAAATAATATTATTTTTAATGGCCCAAACATGTAAACAGCCACATAAGAAACAGTACACCTGGAACATTAGTCGACAGTAATACGAATAAATTACTGAAATATAGATAAACGTCAAAGCAGATTCAAAATGGAAAACTTAGGTTAAAATATTGCTCTTTCATTTTCTTTAGATACTGTTTTAAAAAGTCAAACCTATTGTGCAAAAAAGAAAAATATGTTACTGATGCTCAGGAGTTGGCTGCTGAGGACATGGAGTGACAGCAGTGGGTCACCTGAGAGCTATTAGAATAGATTAAAGACTACGCATAGTTCAGTAATAGCTGGAGTCCTGTAGGCAATGTTGTTGTTAGGTGCTGTCTAGTCAGTTCTGATGCACGTGACCCTGTGTGCGATAGAGTGAACCACTGCCCGGTCCCACACTGTCCTCACAATGGCTGCTCTGTTTGAGTCCTTTGTTGCAGCCACTGTGCCAATCCGTCTTGTCCAGGGCTTTTCTCTTCACTTCTCCTCTCCTTTCCCAAGCATGATGTCCTTCTCCAGAGACTGGTCTTTCCTGATAATATGTTATAAACAAAACCAAATAAAGGAAGATCATTCCTACAAAACATGAGTATAAATGCACAAAACCTCAAGAAAATGCCACAAAATTGAACCCAACTTTTAAAAATAATGATATACCATTTCTAAGTGGTTCAAGAACTCTGTTTCAACATTTGAAAACCAATTTATCTGCTCTGCCACATCAATAGGCAAAGAAAGAAAAATAATATGTTCATACAATTGATGGAGGAAAAGCATTTGGTAAAATGCAACACACAAAGAGGATTGCTGTCTTTCTAAAAGCTTTCTAGCCCCTTCAAAGCAAGGACATTGAAAACACACACCCCTGCAAACTACAGTTGACATTATACTTAATAGATGGGGAACTGAATACTTCATCTTTAAGATTAGAACAAACCGTGCCCTCTGCTACCTCCTGTTCAACATGGAACTAGGAAGCATAGTGCAATAAGGTAAACAAGAGAAGAAAAGAAAATGTATAAACAAAAGCAAAGGAAATTAAATTATCTTTTTTTATTTTTCAGATAACATGACTATCATTGTTGAAAGTTTTACAAATTGGGTGAAATAAGTCCTAGGACAAATGAACAAGCATTGCAAAATCGTAGGGTATAATAATGCTATTGCTTTTATATAAACTAACAATGAACAACAGGAATATTATATTAAAAACATAATATCTTCTACAATAACATCAACATTGAGATATTTTGAAACGCATCTAACATAGGCTCTGTGTGTTTAAAATGATAAAATTTTGGAAAGGAAAAACACTTAAATACCCCAGTAAATACCCTCAAGTTCATAGGTGGAAAGACAAAATATAATGCTAATAATTCCCAACTGGACCTACACTTCCAACCCAAATCCCAGGAAATTATGTCATAGCTTTAAACTGATTTTAAAGTTTACATGGAAGGGTCACATCGCTGAAAATAGCAAACACAATACTGAAGAACAAAACTGAAGTATTGCCACGACTCAACTTTGAGAAGTACTATAACACTACATTCATCAAGACAACATGGTAATTGGAAGAATGAACACACATAAATGCAGTAGAATAAAGGATCTGAAAACAGACGTTTACGTAGGTTGTCAACTGATCTTTGACAAGGATCAAAGACAATTAAAGGAGGAAGGATCGTCTTTCAACAAATGGTACTGGGAAAATCGAGCAGATGTTTGAACCCAAAGAAGAAAATGAAAATGATTGAAGGATCTAGACACAGACCTTTTCAAAATTTAACATAAAAACTGTAAAATTCCTACGGCACATATCAGAGGCAAAGTTTGTGACCTTCATATTGGCTAATAACAAAAGAAAAGAAAAAAGTATTAAGCCTAACTTGATGAAAATTAAAAACTTCTATTTTGCAAAAG